TCAGGCGATCTTCATAAACCGTTTATTATATGCCTGGTTAAGTTTATAGTTTTGTTTCTTTTTTATTCTGAATAATACAACGAAATACCGTTAATTCAATACTAAACGGTTGCTTTTTTGACACTATTTTATTCCCAAACATTTGTAAAATAAAATCTCCAAAATGGGAAGCTTTTGTTTATCATAACCTATACAGAGAAGAACTAAAAATTAATTGATTGAATTAATATACCAGGAGTACGCAATGTAATAAAAAAATAAACTTTCAATAATTGGAATGCATCAATTCATCAGTTGTGGGTAACTTCGCTGTGAGCGACATTTTCGGTCATAATCCCATCAATATCTCACGAGTTAAAATAAACCGAAACAAAATTATAAGCCCCTCAGTGGCACAGCGGTATGTTTGCCGAGTTACAACACTAGAATCGGGGTTTCGATACCCGTGGTGGGCAGAGCACAGATAGCACATTATTTGTAACCTTTCGACCATGGATCTCCATTAGACAGTTAGTTTTAAATGTGTATAAAAACACTCTCATAAGAGCTAGAAAACTCAAAATTTACTAGGTAGGCCATCTTAGGAGATTTAATTTAGTCCTAGATCCATATATTAAGATAACAAAGCAAAATAATCCTTATAATACAATATTATATATATATATATATATAAAGCATTTTAAACAATACTGTTAGTGAAATTAGTATTAAAGAAAGAATTGAGTGGGACTTGTGTAAAAAAACTTATATTTACTTATTATCTATTCGAAGTGGCGCCGTGGTTGGCAGAGCACAGATATCCCATTGTGTGTGTAGCTTTACGCTTGACAACAAACAAACAATTAATTCAAAGTGTGGTGTTTTTGATTTAATGTGCATACCTCTAGCATTCCAAAACCCCGTTTTGATGTATAGGGCAACACTAAGAGGATAGTTCTAACTCGAATATATTAACAATAATAATAATCTTGACGAAGTGTAAAGTTATTTCCACTTTGCTGCCAGCAGCTTTCTGCAGTAATGTACACGGGACAGATCTTTCAGTCTGTGTGTCAAACCAGCAGCTTACTGCAGTAATGTACACGGGACAGATCTTTCAGTCTGTGTGTCAAACTAGCAGCTTACTACAGTAATGTACACGAGGACAGATCTTTCAGTCTGTGTGTCAAACCAGCAGCTTACTGCAGTAATGTACACGGGACAGATCTTTCAGTCTGTGTGTCAAACCAGCAGCTTACTGCAGTAATGTACACGGGACAGATCTTTCAGTCTGTGTGTCAAACCAGCAGCTTACTGCAGTAATGTACACGGGACAGATCTTTCAGTCTGTGTGTCTCAAATAATGTACCGAGGAAACTGAACCACGTATGGTTAAGTTTAAAAGTCACAGTGGCGGTTTCTAAACATGTTGGACATTTGAAGCTGTTGGCGAGTTCAGTATTGGTATATTTCTAAATTATTATATCTATCACTTAAAAACATATGCATATATAAATGTGAATCTTTAAGTGATATTTTCACAGAATCCCAGGTACCTCATCACATAACCTTATCAACCTTTTAGACATGGATGATTTAGGGGGAGCCAGCGTTCAACGGGGGGTCGTCGGCGAGGTGCCAAGATCCGACAATCAGTTTACCTGCCGCAAAGTTCACCCGAGGGCGTTCAAAAACACACCACCTACCGACAAGTAGCCAGTGGATGTACAGGCGCCACCTACCGTTGGGTGGTTGTCTGGATTTCTTTGTGAATCCTGAAAGAAATCTTTATGTTTTAGGGGAGGTCTTGTATAGCACTGTACATACTAATTCTAATGTTGTTTAACTACTCTTCTCTCAATACACTTGCTGGACGTGTAGCTCTATTAATGCAAACATTCCTTTAGCATACCGCGCACTAATTAGAAAACGGGCATGTGATAGGCGCACTTACAAAGAAAGAATACATTACGGTAACGATACAACATTTGCAATTATTAAGGGGTAGCCTGTAATTCGTGGATTTCTACATTTTGCTTCCTGTTAACGAGTTACAAAATTATTTTTTTACGTTAACTTGAATATTCGCTTCCTTACGTATTAATGAAAGTTTCAGAGTAACCGAAACATTTCTCGTGGATACGCGAATTGAGGTGATACATTTTGTTAACCCGCATCGTAATACTGTAATTATTTAATTCATAGTTTCGTGTTATGTTTTATAATAAGTGCTTTGAAGTCTTAGTTTTATACTCTATTTTATTGCGCATTTTTCACAATTAGAAGAGCACCCCTCTCACCTTTAGACCTTCCAAGAAAAAACAACATAGATAAACATAACACACAATTTTCATTCAGTGAACACTTATTATAACCATTTAACATAAATGAAGATTAAAACATACTTTTCAATTGGATGAACACTTATTATTACCATTTAACATAAATGAAGATTAAAACATAATTTTCTATTGGATGAACACTTATTATAACCATTTAACATAAATGAACATTAAAACATAATTTTCTATCGGATGAACACTTATTATTACCATTTAACATAAATGAAGATTAAAACATAATTTTCTATTGGATGAACACTTATTATTACCATTTAACATAAATGAAGATTAAAACATAATTTTCTATTGGATGAACACTTATTATTACCATTTAACATAAATGAAGATTAAAACATAATTTTCTACTGGATCAACACTTATTATTACCATTTAACATGTTTCATACAAATATTAGTTTTAAAGAAAACTGAATCTCGTTAGCTTTAAATTTGGTAAATTAGGAAATGCTTATTATAATTTACATTAACGAAAGTAAATTTTGTATACGGCCCTCCGAGAACTTCCTGCAGTTTTTACGTACTCCATGAGTGGGACTTTTATTCATATCTGTACAGATTGATTTTTACTATCCCAGGACAACAACAAGAACTTGTACAGAAACGGCGATTTGCGCTACCCCAGGACAACAACAAAAATCTGTACAGAAACGACGATTTGCACTACCCCAGGACAACAACAAAAATCTGTACAGAAACGACGATTTGCGCTACCCCAGGACAATCAACAAAAATCTGTACAGAAACGACGATTTGCGCTACCCCAGGACAACAACAAAAATCTGTACAGAAAGGACGATT